GCACGGGGCAGCCCCGCCTTCCCTCACAGCGGCCCCCGCAGCCCCCGGTACCGACACCTCGCCAAATGCACCCCATAGAGTCACACAGCCTAACTGTACAGTGGTTATCTTCCACGCACGCCGCCTCGCTCCGCTTTGGCCATCTATCGACTCAGCCCACTGCCTTTTGTACTTGCCACGACGGAGATTTCGAAATAGAACCTCCTTCCCCAGGCAAAGGCCTGTTCTGGGGCCTCGACACCGCCTGCCACCACTTAAACCCTGGAGCACAAATTCACACAGGAGCTGTGTTGCCCTGGGTCCATACGGAGACCGCAGAAAGCTTTTGTTCACAAAAAAACAAGGGTTTAGCAGGACTGTTCCTCCATCTGGTGCCTGAGGAGGAGACCGGCTCCTCATTCCCCGGGCTGTCGCTCTGGGTCTGCGAGTTATTCACAGGCATCCCTGCTGCAATTTAAAGAGTAACACATTTGAATGGATTTGAAGGAGTGAAAAAAGAAAAAAGAGCATTTGAGTAGTTTCAAGTTGTGCAGCCAACTGGCAGCAAAAGACAAAAATCACAAAAGGTCCCTATTTTTTTGTTTTTTCTTTCCCGTTTTATGTTTTATTGGTTTTGGCTGGGTGGGTGCTGCATGAGGAAAGAAGATTCAAAGGGAACAGGCTTGTCTGCGAAGTCTTTGGAGGGGTGCTAGCACAGAGGAGAGAGAGGCTGTTTCTCATGTGTCGAGCAAAAGAGAGCCTGTAACAGGAGACAGATCCTGCGCGGCCCTCCGCAGAGAAGCAACACAACCCAGAAACACAGGGCGCAAGGGTGGCTTTAAAATTTAAAAAAAAGTATATTCTATTTTTTAAAAGCAGCTTTAAACCAGATGTAAATTAGAGCCGCCACCACGAAGCCAGACCTGAGCGCTCGAAGCAGATAGGGGACCAGGGCCTGGTGGCTCCTCTCTGCCTTCCCTTCCACGGCAGCCTCACCTAAACCTCTCCTGATCTTTGAAACCATCATCGCTGCTTTGACAAAGCTCTCCCTGAGGGATAAATGGAATAGCAGGATACAGGCATGGTGCTCAAAAGGCCTTTTGACCGGCTGCTAGCAAATACTCGGTGTGAGAAAAGCACCTTGTTGTTGTCTAATTCGCACCAATTAAGCCTTCAGGACTGCACACACTGAAATCATTGGCTAACCTTGGCAGGAGCCAACTCACAGCGGTGCGGCTTAGTTAGCGCCCGTGGCCCCAGCGCTGTCACCTGAACCAGATCCAGCCCGAGGACTGGCCTTGCCTCACCCAGAGCAAAGCCTCCCAGCACCGAGGCAAATTCTCTGCATTTGAACAAATTTCAGCCAGCTTCGCTCAGTCTTCCCCGACCGGGTGCCAAAATCTGCTACACTCGGTCAACTGATACAGCCGCTGAAATCAGTGTCCACCACTGTACAAACACACAACAGCAGCATGCTTGTGGGAAACCTATGCTTTAAATAAGCCAGAGAAAAGGTGGCCTTATCACCCAAACCACGCAGGTTCAGGGGCATTAAGGCCCATAACGACAAAATTAAAATTTGCGTATGGAGAAGAATGGCCGCGAGAGTATCTGATGAACCATTACTCATCTTCCTGGGGTGCAGGAGAAGGAGGTTTTGAAGACATGCTTTGAACATATTTTTGAGAACACCTATTAGCCAGAGAACTACAACAGTTAGTCAACCACCTTTTTATTTTTCCCCTCCTTGGGCTGCAGGCACAGTTGCAGATGTCAAGTCATAGCAAGTTACCGCCTAGCAGCTAAGCTGCAACTACCATCTCTGTGTGCGGGACTTTAACCACAGAAAACATGAGGTAATGCTATTACCTTGCACCCCTGCCACTACCCTCTGAAATACCTCCAGCCCAAAGAGGGTGGCTCAGCCAGGTGGCCGTGGCTGATGCGTTTGGTCTCCAAAACACACAACACCTCGCCCGGTGAGGAAAATGGTTTCATAAAACCACAGCTATCAACCAAACACTGAAAACTGCTCCAACTTACAGGAACTACGCGGGTCTGTACCCAGCCCTCTGTGCGAGACCCTGTTGCTCTTCTCGTCACCCAAGCAGTAGCCCTTCATTCTGAAAATTCACCTTCCTTTTCCAGGTCACTGAGGTGGACAAAGAAGTTAGGACTGCACAAAATCCCAAGCAAATGGCAGCAGGTGTGTAACACAAACATTTATATCTGTGGCCATGATTCCCGCTCCAAATTCTTTCCATTTTTTTTGCATTATCCAAATCTTTAAGAAAGAACGAGGTACTTTGTATCTCATTCACGATTGCATAACATTTCCTTGGCAACAAGGCTTTTCTGGCATGATACAGGAGGGAGTAATAGCAATTTTGCTTCTTTTAAGCGTGATTTAGCGGACGGATACAAGAGCAGAAATAACACCATGGGCCCAGGTAGCACCCACTGAAGTTAACAGTTCTCATCGACTTAAAGGACACCGAATCAGGCCCAAGCAATCAGGGCCATCACAAGCCACCATTCAGGGACCGACGCTTTTCTTGGCAACTTTCTTCTTCTGCGCTGGCCCTTAGTAAATTTACAGGAGTTATCCACAACCGTAGCAAAACAAGGGTGTCCATGTGCCTACCAAAGGCAACAGGGCAGCGAGACCAGCTAGCACGGAAGCATCAACTAGGAAAGGTCTGATCCAGGCTGAGCTGTTTGCTCAAGAGATCCCAATGATGGAAAGAAACTGCTCATTTAACACCGCACGGTTCAGGCTGTTTGCAAGGCTTGCAGCACACAGTTCCTGAAATCTACTTCAGATCACTGCAGTTTTTGGGCAACTAGCAGCAGTATTT